TCTCATGGTAATAAAAAGTCTCATGAGATCTGATGGTTTTATAAGGGAAAACCCATTTCACTTCTCTCATTTTTTTCTCTGGTCTGACACCACCTGAGATGTGACTTTCACCTTCTGCCATGATTGTGAGACCTCTCCAGGTCTCATGGAACTGTGAGTCCATTAAATCTCTTTATTTTGTAAATTGCCCAGTCTCAGGTATGTCTTTATCACCAGCGTGAAAATGGACTAATATAGCTCCTAAGGCCTTGGGCAGCTCTGCCCCTGTGGCTCTGCAGGGTACAGTTCCCTCAGCTGCTTTCATGAGTTGGCATTGAGTGCCTGTGGCTTTTCCAGATGCTCTGTGCAAGCTCTAGGTGGGTCTACCATTCTGGGATCTGGGAGATGGTGGACCTCCTCTTACAGCTACCCTAGACAGTTCCCCAAGGTGCACTCTGTGTGCAGGTTCCAAACCCACATTTCTCCTCAACACTGCCCTAGTAGAGGTTCTCTATGAGGACTCTGTCACTGCAGCAGACATCTGCATGGATGTGCATCCTGCAAAATCGAGGTGAAGGCTTCAATGCCTCACTTCTTGCTGTCTGCACACTTTCAGGTTTAACATAACATGCAATCCAGGGGCTTACACTCTCTGGAGCAGCAGCCTGACACATATCTGGGGCTTTTTTAGCCACTGCTGGAGCTGGAGCAGGTGGGGTGCAAGGAGCAATGTTTTGAAGATGTACAGGGCAGCCAGGCCTTGGTTCTGGTCCAGGAAATCATTCTTCCCCCCTAGACCTTTAGGCCCGTAATGGGAAGGCCTGTTGCAAAGGTTGCTGAAATGCATCAGAGGCATTTTACCCATTGTCTTGCCCATTATTTGGTTGGGGCAAAAGTAATTGTGGTTTTTGCCATTACTTTCAAGAAGGGAAAAAAGTCATGTCTTCCATGGCCAGAGCAGGAGGAAGGGAGAGAAGGGGAAGATGCCACACATTTTTAAATAATCAGATCTTGTGAGAACTCACTCACTAGCATGAGAAAAGCAAAAGGGAAGTCTACCCCCATGATCCAATCACCTCCCACCAGGCCCCTCCTATAACATTGGATATTACAATTCGACGTGAGATTGGGGCAGTGTCAGAAATACAAACCCTGTCAGCCTATGACATTATTGTACATTACCCTAGGCTTTATAAGCAAGGTACACTTAGGCTGCACAAAATTTATTAAATATTGTTTCATTTCTTCAATGGTAAATTAACCTTAGCTTGCTAAAACTTTTAAATTTATAAGCTGTTTACTTTTTAATTCTTTTTGTAATAACAGCTTCAACACAAACAAACACGTTGTACATCTGTACCAAACATTTTCTTTTTATCCTTATCTTATAAACTATCTTTCAATTTTCAAAATTTTCCTTGCCTTTTAAACGTTGTTGTTAAAAATGAAGACACAAAGACATATCTTGACCTATGTGGGATCAGGATCATCCTTAATGCTGTTTCACACCTCTGTATCGTCCCACTGGAAGGTTTTCAGGGTCAATAACATGCACGGAGCTGTCATCTCCTTTGATAACAATGCCTTCTTCTGGATGCTTCCTGAAGGACCTGCCTCAGGCAGATTATGTTCCCATGCTCCAGCAGATTTCATGGTGGCTTGTAAGCAGATAATAAATATCTGCTTAGGTATTTAGTAAAATAACATAATAGAGGAAAGAAGTTTGTGGGTGGAATAAAGTATTTATTAGGTCTGGTTTTCCCCTTGAAGTCTGCTATCAGTTACAGTAGTGGCCTTCAGTATCAGATCACACCTATTCTAAAAGTGACCACAAAATTGGAAGTAAATCACTCCTCAGCAATTGCATAGCATTTCACAGATTAAAATGAAATATTGGTTGGCTGCTTGTTTGTTATTTTCCTCCCTTATTCCTTCCTGTCTCTATTGTTAAGCACATTTATTGGCACAAAAGAGGTTTTTAATACCCATTTTTAGACTGCATTTACGCGCAATAGAGCAAGATTCCTGTTCTCTCTCCCTCTTTCTCTTCCTCTTTCTCTCTTTCATTCTTTATTTCCTTCTCTCTCTTATTTTCTTTCTTTTTCTTCCTTTCTTTTTTCTCTTTAAAAAAATATTTAAATCATCAAATTGTCAAAATGAAATTGAAAAAAGTAAGACTGATTTGTAATAGACCATGTATTTAATTTAGCACAGACCATTTCTAAAAAATTTCAGAGCAATATCTTATAACTCTACCCGATGCGTGATGGAGTGTGCATCACTTCTTTGAATGCAAGTCATTTTTTATGTCGCTTTTTCATTAGTAGGGAGCACACAGAGCACATCTCCACTCATCACCAGGAGCCATAACATTGTCAGCCATTTTGGGGAGGTTATTTTTCCTTAAGAAAAAAATTAAAAAAAAAAATTTTTTTGAAAAAGAAGGTATCCAAAAATTGTGTAGGTAGGTGCCAGGTTGACCTAGTTGTTTATATACAAATAACATTATCTTTAATATTTTAGAAATTTCAATTAATTAAATGCAAAAAGAATAGAAGATAGCAATTCACGTGACATTTGAGGTAAATAATTTCAGATAGCTATTCACAATCTAAGGTCTTGAGACAAATTTGTCTGTGATCGACCAGGATTATGCCATGGAATCTGTAATATCTCTTATAATTTTATATATTTTATAACTTACCTGCTATATATACTGTGTAGTTCAAACTTTTTGAGTACAGAAAACTGTTTTATCTTTTATTTTTATTTTTTGAGATGGAGTTTCGCTGTTGTTACCCAGACTAGAGTGCAATGGCACGATCTCGGCTCACCACAACCTCTGCCTTCTGGGTTCAAGCAATTCTCCTGCCTCAGCCTCCCGAGTAGCTGGGACTACAGGTGCGCATCACCATGACCAGCTAATTTGTGTGTGTGTGTGTGTTTTTTAGTAGAGACAGGGTTTCACCTCGTTGACCAGGATGGTCTCGATCTCTTGACCTCGTGATCCACCTGCCTCAGCCTCCCAAAGTGCTGGGATTATAGGTGTGAGCCACTGCGCCAGGCTGTTTTATACTTTAAAGTTTTCTGTGGTAAATCCAGCACCAATTTTTTTACAATAGATGTATAGAAATATAGAAATTAGAGCAGCTCTAGTTTGGAATCTCAGTTCTGCTACTATTAATATATGGTCTTGGATAAAATGAGTGGGGTTGGTTAGATTATTCTTTTAAATTAACTGTGCTTAGTTTTCTCATATGTAAAATGAATACCTTCCTGGAAGGGTGGCTGTGAATACTTGGTAAAGGAGCTCAATAAAAAATATTAACTTCCACAATTTGCTTCATAAATATCATTTGCTTTTTTTGGAGTCTGAGTTAGAGTATATTACTTCCCTACAACACTCAGATTTTAAAAGGAGATTTCTACAGTCAGAAGCAGACTCTTTCCTTCTTTCTAAAGATCTCTTTAATCTCCTCCTTGAAGTACAAGGCTTAAAGAGTATAGTCTTCATAGAATATAGTATTTTTAAAAGAACATTCCAAATTCTAATATCTCTTGTTAATAATGTTTGTTAATTTTTTTCACATTTTGGAATAAATAAAAGGTGCTTTAATAACAAGTAGGGGCTGAGTTCTCACTGCTGCTAGTAAATGAAAATATTTCCTAAGTACAGGAAATTCTCCTTACCCGTCCCAGGGGTCTAATGTGCTCATTTATGTTTAATAAAAGAGGCAAAAGCAGCGTGTTTTTTAAACCTGTGTTTTGAACCAAGTATAGTGAATTGATGTCTCATGACTGCGGAGTGAAAACAAGGTTAAACCGCATGCAGTGCATAGTTGGAAAATGCTCTCTGCCAGTGACTATTCCAGGTATTAGGGCTGTGTCTTACCCTGCTGTAGAAAAACTTGAACGATGACCAGATTCACTCCTCCCTGTTATGCTCAGTGAAGAAAGCTCTTTTACAAGCTGGCAAATGCAGATATATCATGAAGCCATTGAAGCTTCATGGAGAAGAAAGTAATAACAACTGACTTTGGTGAGCTTGGCTACTCAACCAAATTTGATGTTGGATATAATAGTTCAACGTATGTGCTTTCTAAAGAAAGTAGAATATTAGAAGATGCATGTTTATTTTTAGATAACATCTCAGTAACATGGAAATCATGGATATTATTTTTGTATGGCAACATTAAATATGCTTATTAAAAGAAAAATGAAAATTATGTGTCTCTTTTGCTTGAAGTTGGAATGATAACAAAAGTACAAAGTTTTGATGGATATAGAAATTTTATGAATACTACAAAAGAAATGCAGACTATGATTCATTTTTCCTGTGATTTATCATTAGTCTCCAATCTTTTGGCAACTAAAATTGGATACTGGAATAGAAGTGATCACAGGTGATGGAATTATTTATCATTCTGGCTGTTTTTATGCAGGTACAAAAAGCTGCTATATTATAGAAACTCAGTGGAACTTCAGTTTCTGTAAGCTGACCCAGGGTAAGTGTCACCTTCACCAGCTGCACCCCTGCTCACATCCTGTCTGGTGTCTTGGAGCCTGATGCAACATATTGGCACAAGGACAGTGAGGGGTGCACACCTTGCGTAAGAGGAAATTGAGAAAGAGACATTCCTTCAATTCTGGAACATACAGTGTGATCTCAATAAGGCACACATGCAGAATTTGGCAGTTGCCTCTCAAAATAACTCAGTTCCCATGTGTGAGGTCCATTCAAAAAGGTGTATCATCCCTAGATTCTCTGACGAGATGGAGAACTGTGAATTCTGGGGATACAGTAGGCCAAAGACAGGCAAGTCTCCACTGCCCTAGGTTGAAACACTACTCTCAGGAGCTGGGTTAGAAGAAAGATGGAGTCAGACATGGCCCCACGACATAGATACAGAGAAAAGATGAACGGACCCCAGAGCCAGAGAGTCCCCTGCTCTGCAGAAGTGGGGTTTAGAGAGACGTCATAGACTCACTCATTCCACTCCATGGTTACAGGACTGTCCAACCTGGGGCGCTTCACTTGGCAGGTGTAGACGTCTCCCTGCTCGGAGCTCATTTCCAGCATCACCGGGGTCTGGATGTCCAGTCTCATTACGAATCAGGTTGGTGGACACAACCCCAGCTATTTCCTCCTTTCCATTCAGGAACCATCAGACTTGAATGCTTCCTGGATAGAAATCTTTCAGGTAGCAGACAAACAGGTTGTGGTGCTGCAGGGGACCCTCCTTCGAGGGGAAGACATTCAGCCTAGGCTGCATTAGGATTAAGGAAGAAGAAACGTGGAATAGCATTTGAGATGATAATTTCTTAGATATTCTATATTCATTATGGAATGGATGTCCAGATGTTGAAAATAGGAATGATGTGATTAGGCTAGTAGAAAAGATGGAAGTAGATCTTTAAATAGAACATGCATAATTTTGAATAAATTAATACATATTGAGAAGAATAAGAGGCAGACAAACTTATCAGTCTGTAGCACATTTAAAAGAAATGCCAGGCCGGGCGTGGTGGCTCACGCCTATAATCCCAGCACTTTGGGAGGCCGAGGTGGGTGGATCACGAGGTCAAGATATCGAGACCATCCTGGTCAACAAGCTGAAACCCCGTCTCTACTAAAAAAAAAAAAAAAATACAAAAATTAACTGGGTATGGTGGTGGGCACCTGTAGTCCCAGCTACTCGGGAGGCTGAGGCAGGAGAATTGCTTGAACCCAAAAGGCAGAGGTTGTGGTGAGCTGAGATCCTGCCATTGCACTCCAGTCTGGGTAACAACAGTAAAATTTCATCTCAAATAAAAAAAAAAAAAAAGAAAGAAATATCAACAATAAGCCACTGAGCAACAGCCTTAGACAAAGAATACAAGAGTGACACCACCTACCTATTCAATGCAAAGAATGCAATATTTGCTCAAGTAATTTCTCAAAATTTACACACAACACACACACACACACACACACACAAGCAATGACATTCTCATGGTTTATTAATCTGACAACTTTATCTTATAAAAAATACAAAGAAAATAAAGTGAGCTTTACATTAAAAAAAAAGAACTCAGTGGAGCAATATCTTCAGCAGAGGCTATTACATTTTTTTTTCTTTTTTTGAGATGGAGTCTCTCTGTGCCACCGAGTTGGAGTGCAGTGGCGCAATCTCTGCTCACTGCAACATCAGCCTCCTGGGTTCAAGCCATTCTCCCGCCTCAGCCTCCCAAGTATCTGGGATTACAGGTGCACACCACCATGCATTTTGTATTTTTAGAAGAGACGGGGTTTCACCATGTTGGCCAGGATGGTCTTGATCTCTTGATTTCGTGACCCGCCCACCTTAGCCTCCCAAAGTGCTGGGATTACAAGCATGAGTCACCATGCCTGGCCAATACTGTACTTTATAAGACCAACTTTTTCCTTTTTATAAGAGAAAATGTTTTTTCTTTTTGATAAATTGTGGTAACACCTACCTTTGGATTGGATTTAGGGCCCACTCTAATCCCGTGTGGTCTTGTCTCTATCATGAGAACTGCAAATACCTCATTTCCAAATAAAGGTATATTCAGGAGTACTGGGGGCTGGAATATAATGTTTTGGGGAACAAAATTAAACTCACTACACTTCCTATGACTCTAATACTGTTCAATCAAAATTATGTGAGTGGAAATTGAAAATACAAGGCATATTTCACATTTTCAACTATCGAATAAGGATTCGACTGTATTTACTTTTTCTACTTAATAACAGAAAAGCATATTGCTGATTTTACCGCTGCACTGAGTACCAGAACATATAGATTTTAGTTCCATCATTGTCTTATGTGAATTTGAGTTAGTAATGAGACTACTGAAAATGTAGAAATTATAGAGAATACATTTCTGAACAATATGCAATAATACATGTAAACTGGAAAGATGAAAAAATAAAAGAGTTTGTGATCATCCCAAGTGCAAAGGAAAGTGTTCTGGGTGTTGTGAATGGAGCAACCTTTGGCCGAGGCATTACACAATGTAATAACTTATCGAGGGAAGCGCCATAAATAAGCTGTGAGAAAGTGGATGAGTCAAACTTTTAGAAGCCTCTGTTTCTGTATTTGTGCTCACTTTAGAATTAGCTGTTACTAGATAATTGTTCAACTTTTTTATGCTTCAAAATTAAGCTTTAAAAATTTGTTGAAGTAACCACAAATTTAAAGTGTTAACATTTAATTTTTCAATATCGGTCAAATCGCCATATTCACCAAAAATCTAACCTGGTCTCAATTTTTCTGTATCATTTTTGTTTAACCAAATGATATGTTACTCTTTTATTATAAAAGTAATAGCTTATGGGTTCTGTAACTGGTCCACAGCATCCATTAAAAAATTGGCTAAAGTTAATAAACTCTAGAGATTTTGTCTGCTTTCAGTGTTAGCAGTTTAAAGGGACTTCAGTTGGGCATAATTATCCTGCTATGAACTTTATCAATGCAATCACTAAGCACAAAACAACAAAAGCAAATTCTTCCTGATTAGTTTTTTCTCTCTCTTTTTTCTTTTCTATTTTAATATAATATGTCTGTTATCGTTTAAGGAAAATTCTCCAAAGAATATAAGGAAAAGAATAATAATAAGCAGAATCTCCCTGTCAGGACCACAACTAATTAGGTTCACCTTTGCTTTGGAGAAGAGAAATGTAAAAATTTAAGAAGTGATTGTGCGTGCACAGACTTGAGTGTAAAATTCAATAAAGCCACTACACATCAAATGCAGAAAGAATAACACCTATCACTGTGACTAACACATTGTAGTTGCCCAATACATACTTTGTCAAAGGAATTAATTAACTACTTAGTTTCTGTGACATAGATAAATTTACTGTGGTATCTCTCACTCCTCGGGAAAGAACAATAAATTGACATGCTCTTCATGCTCCTATCCCATCATTCTGCCCTTAGATGCCTGAAGTAGACCCTCCAATGTGATTAGGATTTGTAAAACGCTCCTTCTTTATGTTTTGGAAAACAAATATTTTCTCAATTTCTACTGTCCACATTTCCCACATGAATTTCCCCTATATATGCTTTCTTGTAAACTCATGTAAATACATAAGTCTTTTTTAGACAATGTTCCTCCTGATTGTGTGACAGGAGACAGGCAATATAGATTTGCACCCAAAATGAGAAGCTTGATATCTTAAGAAGGTGGTGTGCTCATATCAGGTGACACAGCAAACAAGGACAGAAAACCTGTCTGTGGCAATTTCAGAGATCTCTCTAATAAGGCTTCTAAACCCCTCTTCAATCTCATCTTACACCACCCTCCAGTACCTCAATTGAACAGCTTACAGCTGTGGCTCATGGTACATTTAATCATCCTTCTCTACCTTTATCATATCAGCCCCCTGACTAGACTGCCTTCTTCTTCCCTGGGGGTGCCTTAAGTATTGTTTGTCTATCAGTCATGACCTCTGGCCTAGAAACCTTTTCAGACTTGCCCAGGTCAAAGCAAATAGTCATTCTCTGTATTTCCATAGCGCCTCACAAACACATAGTTAACATCTCTGCTTAAATGGATATCGTCTTAGAAAGATCTTTCCAAAGTACCACAATCCACACGATCATCACATTCTCTATTGCAGTCTCTTACGTTGGGACTTAAATCACAATGATTTATGTATTTGTATATTGATGTGTCTGTGTCTCTTGCTAATGTGAAAGACATTGTGTCTCTCCTGTTCACTTCTGTGCCATAAAGCTTAGAGAATGTTTGGTGTAGACTGGGTACTCAAAACATAGTTATTGAGTGAATGAATACACAATGGATAAATTGATTTGAATTTTTTTTATTTCTGAAAAAGGATATCAGATACATAAGGGACTACTGTTTACAGTTTTGAATCCTCAGTTCCTACCATTGTGCACGGCATAAGATAGGGAAGCAACAGATGTTAACAAACAGTTTAATTTAAATGACACTGTAAGTCAAAGAATCTCTTTCTTACATGCAATGTAGAAAGGAGTTCTTGCCTTATTTTAACCCAATTAAACACCTTAATTTTCATAATTATAACTCCTGAAATATGTTTGACACATTAGTCTCTCATATAAATATATTTATATATGTGTGTATATGTGTGTGTATGTATATATATATATATGAAGAGAGAGAGAGAGTCATAATTTCTTAGTCTAAAAATCTGTGGCTTATTTAAAATAACAGTGGGGTGTTTATTGTGAAAACTGAAAGACCCTAAAAAGATTCAGTTCTCATTATACATCAGATTATATGAAAACATGAATATACTGTTGATTAACTTTTTTTTCCTCAACAGTCTTTAAACATGTTCACATGACTCCCAAAATCCACAAGTGAAGTGAAGGGGTCCACAAAACTCAATGAGGTTAAAATAACTGATTAAATAAAGATTTGTGTTTCATTGAATAAAGCATAATGAGAAAGTATCCAATTTCTAAAATTTTCTTGTCTCCTAAGGAACCATAAAAGCTGGCCAAAACTTAGCAGAACTTAGCACTCGCTTCACTAGTTCCTTTGATTCAAGAAATCATTTAATCACCTAAGACAGAACAACAAATTTCATGGCCAATAGTAAATAGACATGATTGTAACAAACACTATCAAGCATTTTATCAGCTCCTATGGAATAAGTAAAATTGCTCAGTTTTTACTTGGAAAACAGTTATTATAATAATTCTGGGCACTCTCTGATCTGACATATGATTGGCTTATGAGGTTGAACACTGTGATATTTTTCACAGTCAAAATACATTTAAATTTTTTTTCCATTTTCTTGTTTTTATTTTTTATTTTTCAACTTAGCCTGTCTTTTTTTTTTTTTTTTAATCTTTACTCTTCTCTTTCCACTTTCTTACTGTCAGGCAAAATTGATTCTTTTATAACTATCTTTTCTTTTGACAAATTTTTAATGATCTAATTCACATTAAGGTTATATTGATTAGAGGAAGCTTAATATTTGCAACTAGGGTCATTTCTCTTTGTTAGACAACAAGGTATATTCTAAAAGGAAGGGACATACTTTTTACACAAGTTACGACATACTGAGAGCCCTTCAACCCATAACCAAGTGTTCTTTGTTACGCTGTAAGTGAAA